TTTATAGAAATGGATCAAAAAGAGAGAGAATCTTTGTTCCTGAAACTTTCAGAGTCTCTTTCCACAGAGGGGACACGTGTTGATGTAGAAGAGACATGAAGAAGAGGGGACACATGTTGATGTAGAAGAGACATGAAGAAGAGGGGACACATGTTGATGTAGAAGAGACATGAAGAAGAGGGGACACATGTTGATGTAGAAGAGACATGAAGAAGAGGGGACACATGTTGATGTAGAAGAGACATGAAGAAGAGGGGACACATGTTGATGTAGAAGAGACATGAAGAAGAGGGGACACATGTTGATGTAGAAGAGACATGAAGAAGAGGGGACACATGTTGATGTAGAAGAGACATGGAGAAGAGGGGACACATGTTGATGTAGAAGAGACATGAAGAAGAGGGGACACATGTTGATGTAGAAGAGACATGAAGAAGAGGGGACACATGTTGATGTAGAAGAGACATGAAGGAGAGGGGACACATGCTGATGTAGAAGAGACATGGAGAAGAGCGGACACATGTTGATGTAGAATAGGGGACACATGTTGATGTAGAAGAGACATGAAGAAGAGGGGACACATGGTGATGTAGAATAAGGGACACATGTTGATGTAGAAGAGACATGAAGAAGAGGGGACACATGTTGATGTAGAATAGGTGACCTTTAACTAGCAGGGAAAAAAAGGAGGTTAGACATTATTTTTGATCCAAATGTGTTTCTTACGTGACTGTACTGATCCAGCATCTTCTGGCTGTGAGCCAGGTATGGAGTCATGAACTTGGAAGTGTCCACCTTGACCTTCTTCCTGACCTTCCTGACTTGCAAGCCAGACTGGACGAGAGCAGAGGAAAACAGGATTAACTAGCCGACTGACGAAAGGGCTCCCTGACTACAGGAAGTGAAACCACACAGCGACCATCACAGACAGGAACACGACATTTTGACAAAACAAATCAGGTGTTTTCCAAATGTGTGGATTCAATAACGATCTGATCTTATCAAGGTTGAAAGGAAACTTAATATTTCTTTGTTTGCAGTATACCTATTACTTTATGAATCTGAAATATTCTACATACAGGCTTGGAAAGTAACAGATTACAAGCAGATAAAAAAGGCAACTGTATTCCCTTACAGTTACATAATCTGTACACGAAACGTTTCTAAAAACTGTGGATTACTAGCAGGATAACACAACTAAGAAAGTGCATATAGTGTTAGTTCTAAAAGGATCAGGACTGCCTGGATGTGCTTCATGAAAGGCAGGTTTTCCTGTACATAAAATCCCTTTTGATCCTAAATGTCTTGGCTCAAAGGTCAAATAGTTCAACCGTCTAATCCCAAAGTAACGGAAAGTAATCAGGGTACATTACTTTTACATTTTGATACTCAGATTGGATTACTGGTCAGGTAACTAGTCATTGTAACACTACACATTTTTAAATGTACATGATACTTAGGTAGTAAGGATAATGGCATGAATAACAAACAACGAACAAAACCAACAAGTAAATTGCACGGTGTACAGAAACATCAACAACAAGCATCTTGCACTGCATGCGATACCAGGATCAGAAACACGTAACATGAACACAAGGGAACAGTATCTCATCTGTAGGGAACAAAGGCTTCAGGAAACTAAATCAATTTCGGTTGGTAAAGAGAACTTGATTTGTAAATGACTGAAAACGTAGCCATCAGGGTTTTAATTGACGTAGATTAAACATTAAAACCTGCCCTGACGAAGGAGACGAGGCCTTTAATGAAATAACCAGACAACAGATTATCCACAGACATGCACACAAGGAGGGGTTTCCTCTATGAGTCCTTTTGGGAGGAGGTGCTTTACCTGTGACGTCTGAGCACCCTCAGAGACAGTCGTTGTGGTAGTCTGCTCAACATACTACAAATATAGGACACACTCTGGGGTTTCAAAACTGACAGAACAAGTTATGGGAGAAACAGCAAAGTATTCTCTATTTGGATTGAGGGTGATTTTTCCACAGCTCTGGTGCTCATCAATTACTGCCATGACAAGTCTCAGGAAATCACTCTACATGCCATTAGAGGCTATTCTGTCAAACCGCCCTCAAAAAGTCCATCAACTGCATAAAAGCCACCGCGTTGTCGTCAGGGATCTTTGTCCCGATGCGTAATGAACTGATTCATTATCCACTCAAACAGAGTCACTGTAAGAACGATCCACAGAGGTGTAATTATGACTGGGCTAATTAAGTCTGTTTTCTACAAAGGACAGATTAATATCCTCTGTTATGTGGGACTGACTGCTCTAAATCTGACCGAGGCTATAAGCATATAAAAGGCATTCACATTCTATTCTTAGGTTTGATTTATTGCATCGAACATTTCATCAAACGTCTTTAGACAGCGTCATCATCTCTGAGTTTAAAGGATTACCGTAATTTTCGGACTATAAGGCGTACCTGAATATAAACCGCAGCAGCGGCATACCACTCTCGGTTCCACTTTTACTTTTGCGCGCGACCTGTCTCACTCTTTTCCGGCCTCNTTTGATTTATTGCATCGAACATTTCATCAAACGTCTTTAGACAGCGTCATCATCTCTGAGTTTAAAGGATTAGTTCACCCAAAATCATTGTCTAATCATCCCTAGTAATACTTTTAAAATGTTTAGGTAGCAGTCTTTAAGTGTTCTGCCTTTACTCCAATAGAGTGAAAGTGAACTACCGTAATTTTCGGACTATAAGGCGCACCTGAATATAAGCCGCAGCAGCGGCATACCACTCTCGGTTCCACTTTTACTTTTGCGCGCGACCTCTCTCACTCTTTTCCGGCCTCCAGCTTTTCCTGCTGGAACCCGCCGCTTAAAGGTGGGGGTCCGCGGACCGGCCATAGAGCCCATAGAGTTAAAGGTGTTGGCCGTTAGCTGTAAAAATCCATAGATTAGCCGCACCGTTATGTAAACCGCAGCGTCGAAAAATGGGGGAAAAGGCGCGGTTTATAGTCCGAAAATTACGGTAGTTCACCCAAAATCATTGTCTAATCATCCCTAGTAATACTTTTAAAATGTTTAGGTAACAGTCTTTAAGTGTTCTGCCTTTACTCCAATAGAGTGAAAGTGAACAAGTTTGCGTTTGTGTTGCTAACAGCATTGAGCAATGGCATTTCAAAACAACCACTTTCATTTCTGCAAACAAAGCCTGTGTTAATCCACAGCTTTCTTAGAGACTACTGTCTTCCAGAAAAGTAGTCCCTAACAGAACTGATGTTCCCGTGGATTATCCAGAGTTATGATCAGGCTAATGAACAGACAGATATTTCAAAGACCATCTTCAATGCTGTTAGCACCAGACATGAAACCCATTCCCCTATATTGTATTGAGTTGGAGTCAGAAATCCTCAAATCTGGGGTTTAATTCAAACATGGCTGGATGTGACTTGTTTTTCTTTAATTTGGGGAATTCAAACTTAATGGGATAACTAGCTTTTCCATTGAAGCAACCTAACCCTGAGAGCACAGTGAGGGACAGCATTCCCACGCAGAGCATACTGGTCCATGAATAGCCCGTCTAACTTACAGCCTGAATTACACCTCACTTTACTTCCCTACGATCCCAGTGAAACATTTACAGTCACAGCAGGTTGAACATTTTGAGACTGGTGTCTTTGGAAGCTAACCAATTAACTTAGCACTTTTGGAAATTAACTTTGACTGGAGTACTGCACTTAAGTATCCATTAAATGTCTCTTTTATTCCACTTGGAAGCCAATACTGTACTTTTTGGATCACTGCCTATATTTTACAATTGAATACAAAAATAATAATTGTCTTCTTTTTTATTTGTATTTGTTAATTTGTGTATATATTTAACATGTAAGCTTACTCTTGTTGTATTGTTAGCCTTTTATCTGCTATGTGACTTTTGCTGTAACGCTGTAAATGAAATAACATATTTCAAATGTATAAAAAAATAAAAATAACTATGATGTATTATTTTTGGAAATGAGCTATCTGAAAGTATATAAAGATAGCCACAGATTTACCAGCTGCATTAGTGATGTGTGCATATTAATGCATACACAATTATAATCCAATAACATGACATATAATATTCTGAAAGTGGCATATTGAGTAGTATTGACTTATAGAGTATTTCCACACTGTGTTATTGCCACTTTTACTTAAGTAGACTAACATATGACTTCTTTCACCACTGCCAACAAGTCCTCGAATCTACCAGACACCTAGAAATAACCAGAGCTGCGGGAAAGAACATCTCAAACCTTTTTTTATCAACATTTGTAAGAGGCTTCGATATCCAAATCTATCAGACAGGAGAGAACCATAGGTGTAAATTAAACACTGCGCCACCATTTCATCACATGCCTACAAAGCATAGCAGAAACAACGATAGCTCGGCCACCCGTCGGGCAGTTTTCCACCTTTCATAAGCTAATTTCTCGCAGTGGCGTTAACACGTTCCAGGCGATCAGAGTGTGATTTACAGGCTCTCTCTTTCCCTCTCTCACTGCTCTCTCACACTCTGCCAAGGTGCCTTAGATGTCCACTTCTAAATTTGTCCGAATGCCAGACAGAGCACTCTACGCTCCACCTTTTAATGACCCAAATTAATATATAGAACATCCTCATGATTATAGATCAAAGCAGATTAAAATACATTGAAAAAACTGAACCGCTGACTTTCATTAAGTGCATTATGTCACATAGCTGTATTAGGTTAGTGGAAAGCAATACTAATAAGTTGAACCTAATTATTTTAAACTTAATATCATTGCTTACAACTAACCTTATGCAGTTACGTGAAATCTGTTGACATGATACATTTAATTAAAGTCAGATTTCAGTTATTTCAGTGTAACAAAATAACTCCACTCTTTATGAAATGATATGACAGTCAAACGAAATTATCGTTAAAAGCCAAGGGATTGTGTGTTTTTAACTATATGCATTTGTCTCACGTATATCCTGACTATCACTATGTTTCTCCCCATTCTGTAGATTAAATAAGAAGCCATCTTACTATTTATTCAAAGCATTTGAACTTTTCTCCAGTGTAGATGAAAGTGCCAGTGAAATCAGAGTGTATTGACTTTGTGGGTCTCCGTTTGTTTCCGCCTCCCAGTCGATATACCATCATTGCGGTAAAGATGGTAGATCCATTTGATATGTTATATGGGAGTTAAATGACCACGAAAGTAATTGCTTGGTGTGATTAGGTAAATAGCCATTTGACTCCCCTATAAGTTATCAGCAATATTAGGTATTAACAAATACAAGGCAGGCTTTAATCCCATTTCACCAGGAAATATAGGACTAAGCTGTTAGCCTTCTGACTTCACTCTTCCATTGGACACAGCGAGACATTCAGAAACACAGTAACTTAAAACATCCGGAAATATTGGTAAATATCAGATTATCAGATCATTGGCAGATATAATTGGAGATTGGTGGTCCACGCCACTTTACACGATTGGTTAATTATAATAAAAAGACAGAATGGTAACTGGCGTGTTCCCAAATTGTATGAAATCTAATCTTATTGTGCTTTGTATTATAGTAACGTGTTAATTTTCTTGACGTGTAATTTCTTCACTGTATCTGCACTGTTGTTGTAATAATGTACATTTCCTCGTTGTGGGACAAATAAAGGAATTTAGATTCTGATTACAGATGAAGGGTACTTGTGTTAGTTAGTTAACATTACAGCATGTGTTCATTGATAGGTTAGACATGTTGGCCTGTAGTTTCATTATATGTAAGAATCTGTGGGAATAAATGTCATCAACGATTCGCCACCACTGAAGATACTATTTATTATACAGTTTGATAGCATAGTTACTACCAACCTGTCATAAGGTAAAGCCTCATAGAAAGTCTCCTTATAGGACAATGTCCCAGGAAAATTTGTAAACCTTCAGTTTGAGTTAATTTTGATTTATAGTTAGCCGTTAAGGGCAATCCAGGATGAAAAACCCATTTGAAACAGGATCCTGACGACTGAAGTGCTGACTGGAGAGGGGGGGGGGGGGCACTAGCTTAACTATTCATAGGGTCTGCCACTGTACTGGTGGATAATCTCAATCTGCTGAAATAAGGTGACATATACCATGTTATGAAGTTATATTCAGGGTAAACTAGTCAAGTATGAAAAGTAATGTCGCAGTTCGATGAATGTGCTCAGCGTGAATTTGTACTTACCTCTTCCACAAATTCCTCCTCCTCCTCATAACTCTCTTCAAATTCCTCAACTTCTTCTGCCATGTTTGAACGGTTTTAAAAGCTCTAGACAAAACACAGATGAGATTTGAAAAGATGATCATTATTTAAACTCTGAATGGACACGGTTATGCCTCATAAGCTTTTATACATACAGCATTCAAAGTATATAGCAGTTATCTTAAATGTGTCCAGCAGTAGCAACACATCACAATGTCAGACAGCTTTTACTGGGGCTTAGACACAAGAGATCAAAGGACAACTGCACCAGGGATATTTTAAGATGCTGCCAGTCATCCCCTGTTGAACCCAATTACCCGATCAAATATAGGACTTATAGCAGCAAATACACGCTGAGAAATAACAACATATATATATAGTAATGGTAAATCAATATGGACGCCATACCAAGGAAAGATTTCCGCTGAAATTCCTGACTGTAAGGAAGTTCCCCTTGTCATCCACTAGGGTCTCAAACTGATAGTCCAACTTTTTGTCCTAAACAAAGCAATAGAAATGTGTCACAAAGTAGGACAATGAGAGAGAATTACACAGGGAGCGTTGCAGATCAGGAAGGTGAGACATTAGTGCATTATAATGGGCCTTTAAATGTGTGAAAAAGCCGCCCCTCCTCCCTCACTTAACACAACACGGAGGAACTGGCTGAAGGTTGGCGACAGCTGCCCAACAGAGAGCTTCAGCTATTTGACATGTAAGCTAATGCCGCAGCCTGATTGGTTGACTCTGTTTAGCAAACGGTAGGGCAATGCCTTCTGAGGGCTGCAGGTTAAATATAGGATGGCATACTAAGTACCTTTTTTAGCACTCGATTGCCCTTTCTTTAAATAAATTAAGAAAAAACATATATGTGAAATACTTAGACAAATAGATGCAAGTTGAGGTAAAAGAACAAAATAGCCCCGACAGGTGTTGAGATTTCAAAGAGACCAGATGAAATAGGCCGGGCTGTTGCTGACATTTCAAGATACATCCAAAGGCACGCCAGGTGAAATGTTGCTTGCAGATCTTGTTTAGTTATTCCTTAAATGTGCAGCTCCTTATCAACTCTCCTCCTGGATCCATGGCAGCAGAGGATGGAAATGATGGAAGTCCAAACCGATGGAAAAGCCATGCAAGGTGAGGAAGAACTAAATAGATATTTGTGCTTTTTTAAAATCCATTTTTTCTTTGCTTACCAGTTAAATCAAAGTTAAATGTTCTCCTAAGCCGCCAAAGCCTCCCCAGCTTCCCTCCAGAGAAAAGCTGTGAGAAAGCACACAGCTGCGATTTCTACCCAGGTTATCATGTGGTCCACACAGCCAATCACAGGCCGGCGCTCTCAGATTTCAAAATCTAAATATACCAAAGTGATCATTTCAGAAAAGAGCACCTGTTGAGGCTAATGCATCAGCGGTACAGTTATGAGGAGGGGCTCGGGTTGGTTGGGATCTCAAGAAAACAAGCGTGAAACCCAAATACAACAAATCCTGACGGTGAAGGATGTGTTGACAAGCGGCGGGAGAGTTTTCTTGTGAAAGGATTGGAAGTAGGTCTGACCCATAAGGAAATACGCATTAGACTTTGAGGATCTGAAGGCCCTGAGAGCCAGATCTGATGAGGTCATCTGTTAGCTGACCCTGAGCTGCTGGCAAGGTCTGCATCATGAGAATCAGATCAACATCGAACTGAGGAGAGTTGAAACAAGTCGATGTCCCCAAACATATGAGACAAAAACGAATAGCTGGTATTTTAAGTGTAGCTGTGTCTCTAGAAGGTGAAGACAATAATAATAATAATAAAGTCAGATTAAGGACCAATCATCCTTGGATTATGAGTAAATAACGAGTTACGACGAGCAGCTCTTGACTTGCAGTGGAAAGCAGATTGAGGACATCTGTCAGATTTTAGCTTAACCCACGAGACAAAAATGAATAGCTACAAGTATTTTAGGTGTAACTGGATCTCTAGATGTATAAGAAGAGATAATGGTCTGATCAATTACCAATTCCCCTTTGATTATGAACAAATAATGAGTAACTATGAGAAATTCTTGACTTGCAGTGGAATTCTGATTGAGGACATCTGACCGTGTTTAGTTTAACCCATACATATTAGACACAAATGAATCGCTACTAGTACTTTAGGTGTAACTGGATCTCTAGATGTATAAGAAGAGATAATAATCTGATCAATTACCAATTTGTCTTTGATTACGAGTGAATAACGAGTTATTATGAGCAATGTTGACTTGCAGTGGAAAGCAGACTTGAGGACAGTTGTTAGCTCCATAATGATGTCAACAATACATTTAGCTTTGTCCCTGTATATTTAAAATACTTTGAAACAATATAGCTCTAGGTGCAGCCCTATATAAATATATTTGCTTCACGTAATAACATAGACTAAAGAAATTCCATCCCACAGGTCAAGTGACTGATACCTGGGTAAGAAATATACATTTTCAAAGCAGCAGACTCCGACTCACTCGATCCGAGTGCATAAATATAATCTGACGTATGAAAATACATCACAAACTATTTCTGGATAGAGACGTTTAACATAGAATTGAGGTCAAGTAGCAGCTATGGTTTAGTGTAACAGCAAATCATGAATAGAATTAAGAGGGTTAAGGATGACACAAGGCGTCAAACAAAGAATACAACATGTACCAAACAGTATATTTACTTCTCCTCTCCTCAGGTGATGTGCCTCTATCTCTCCGCTATTTCAAATCTGCTACCCAGGCGCTGAGATGGAAAGCAGCAGCTGTGTGTGTGTGTGTGTGTGTGTGTGTGTGTGTGTGTGTGTGTGTGTGTGTGTGTGTGTGTGTGTGTGTGTGTGTGTGTGTGTGTGTGTGTGTGTGTGTGTGTGTGTGTGTGTGTGTGTGTGTGTGTGTGTGTGTGTGTGTGTGTGATCCACTGTTGCGTGGTCCTCAGTAGCACCATCACCACAACTTTTATTTCATCTAACCTGCAAGATTGAAGAAGTAGTCATGTTACAAACGGTGAGATATCTCACGGCATAGAAATATAAACCCAAATCTATTTCAAACTATTATGTTTTGGGTTTTTTTCCCTTTCCTTTCGTGTTCTATAGGTTTGTGTGCATGTAAATGGTCTGAAAAGGTCAAACTCCCACATCCCTAATGACGTCACTTTGTAACACTTGCACTTCTATTGGCTAGTGCTCCAACACATTGTACGTGATAGGCTAAGGGGCGGAACATCTCTAAGCTGGTTGACCAATCACAACAGAGCCGGCCAGCTAACCAACCAGAGCAGACCGGGCTCTGGTTTCAGACGGAGGGTGAACAGAGATGCTGCAGCACAGGCAGTATGCGAACAATAAAGAGCTTTTTGAACATTAAAGCATGGAGACATGTAGAGACACTACATACTGTTAAACACCTGGGGCCGTATTCACAAAGGATTTTAGGGCTAAAAGTAGCTCCTAACTGGCGAATTTAGGAGAAACTCCTAAACATAATGGGCGTGTCAGTCTTAAATTTAGGACTCCTAATTTTATTCACTAAGAGCAATTCACAAAGTATTTTAAGCCTAAAAGTAGCACCTAAGTCTGGGAGAGCTTAAAAGTCCTCGAGAGGACTCCTAACGCAGTAAGACCTATTCACAAAGAATCTGAAAATGGCTGAGAGACGAAATGTTTTGGAGACAATGGAAGACTGTGAATTGATCAAGAGATATAGGCTAAATCGTGAGGGTATCAAACTTGTTGTGGAATTAGTGCGGGATGCAATAACATCCCCGACTAACAGGAATAACCCGATTAGTCCGGAAATAAAATGTTTGGCAACACTACGATATTTAGCAACAGGGAAAATGCAACTTTGCAATGCCGACGATTTAGGAATATCGCAACCATCAGTCAGCTGTGCCATAAACCAAACCATCAACGCGCTCTCTAGAC